GGGTTGAATATCCATTCCATATCTCTTCTAAAACTGTCTGCTTATGCGTTCATCATTCCTCCAACTACGCATTGCCGCACGGAGTTCCTTGCAAGCCCCGATTATGTTGGTGCCATTGTCTGAACAAATACGTTTCGGAGTCATACCCTTTCTGGTGATGAAGCGGGCAGTAGCGCTTAGGAGTGCATCTATATCTAGAGACTCCAACACCTCCAGGTGCACTGCACGAGTAGCTAGGCAGGTGAATATACAGCCACATCTCTTGGTACTCTTTCGTCCTTGTCTTACTGTGAACGGGCCAAAGCAATCACTGCCCCTTTAAGTAAAGGGACGCTCCCCGGGCTTGGTCCGGTCTTCGGGCAGCATGGCTTCCCTTTGCCGAGTGGGCTTCCAATTGTTACGACGGAAAGTGACACACTCCTTGATTACCTTGTCGAGCAGAGAGCGGCAACAGGCTATCCATAACTCACACCGGAGTATGGACAGTGTATGTTCTCTCCCGGAATTGCCAGCGCCCACCGTGTGTGTTTCCTGTACTATAAGTTTGGTCACTGGGTGGTCTCTGGGCAGTAGTATTGGTCCAGTTCTTTCTTTGGCATCTTGTAACCTTCTTCCTACTCTGAGCAGCCCATCTTGGCCTAGGTATGGCTCTTGTCGGTACAGTTGACTTTGTCGTGGCAGCTGTCGGTGCTGCAGGAGGCTCATCTCCTCACCATAGGCCTCCCGTTACAGGAACCGAATGATGTCCCACTTGGAATTGCGCAGTTCAGGCAATTCCAGCGGCTTCGATGTTGCACCCTGAAAGTCGTTTCTCAGGATGCTGGATACTCGCCTGATTCAGGATATACCTCTCTGCAGCGCATACAATGATGAGTACCTACTTCATATCAGTTGCATTATGGTATCGGCGTTATTTCCTGCTGTGGCTAATGACACAGCCTCGAGCTTAACCTCGGGAACATTCTCAAGTTCGTATTTGATTCCGGTTCTCTCGGCCAGTACTCCTCAGGTAGAGGCAAAATGGAGGGACCATCAAGCCATCTGCATTTCTTTAACATGTCTTCAACTTGTATGCCTCTTGTAGCATCATCTGCTGGATTCTATCTTGATCCTGCATGCCTCCGTTGGGCCTTCTCCTTGACTTCGTGTATAGCCGAGTTCCTGTTGGCAACGAAGGTATGGAAACGTTTCTCTAGGTTGGCGATGTACTTGAGCACAATCATACTGTCCGCCCAGAACATGGATTCTTCAAGTGGGACTCCAATTTCACTCCTGATAGTCTGGTCTGCTCTTATTGCCAGGACTGTAGCACAGAGTTCTAGCCTTGGAACCGTTAGCTGTTTAGAGGGACCAGACGAGCCTTGCCACGGACGAAAGAACATCCGGCATTACCTTCATTATCTACTGTCCGTAGGTACGTCACAACTGCGTAGGCCACTTGTGAGGCGTCACAGAAGTGATGAAGTGGCACGACCCAGGCCCTCGGGTCTGTAGCAGCGAGGAACTTTGAAGTTTAACAGTGATTTCAAATCTTCAAGCCAACGCAACCACTTGTGAAGGTTTTGCTTGGCAATGTGTTCATCCCAGTCCTTCTTTCGCCTGCATTCGTCTTGGAAAATGAGCATGACTTTGATGGTGAAAGGGCAGATGAATCCTAGAGGGTCATACACCGAGCTTACCACTGCTAGTAAGCCCCTTTTTGTCGGCGGTCGGGTGGGAACCTGAACCTTTGCTGCAAACTGGTTTCCATTCAGGTCCCACATGACTTCCAAGGCCCTCTCCATGGGTAGGTCTCACACATCCCAGGTTCACTTCCTTCACTCCTGCATGTTGACTTTCAAATGGTATCGTGTTGAGGACTTCCTTGTCGTTGCCGATCCATTTTGTGAGTTTGAAACCTCGCAGGGATAGAAGATGTCGCAACTGCCGAGATGTCATAATTGCTTCTTTTGGTTCAGTTACTGACAGGAGCAGGTCGTCTACATAGAAGTTTGATTTCGCACTATTTGCGGCATCCTAGAACCCATCTCCGAAGTCTTGGAAGGTCCGTTGCAGAGCATAGGCCATGCACGAGGGACTCCACACTCTCCTAAGAGATGCACTGTCATCCTACATGTCATTGGCGTTTGTGTCAATGCTCCACCTTCTCGCCATTAGGGCGATCGGCTCTCGTCTAAACCGAATGAGCACTCCCATCAATTTGTTGTTTAGGTCTGGTCCTTGGAGCACTTGGTTGTTGAGTGAAGTCTTCGTGAAGACTGCTGCACAATCGAAGACTATTCGTACCTTGTCTGGTTTGTTGGGGTTCAGTACTTGGTGACGAGGTAAATACCAACTACTTCCACCGGAAGTATATTGTACCTTCTCTGCTAAGGGAAGTGTCTTAGTGCACTTGTAGGAGAACACTTAAGTGAGGTGTTCACTGGGTAACAAGTGATATGAGTTTGCCCGCTCTCTCCTGCTCAGGCGTGAGACGCAAGGAGGAGTGGGTGAGCTATTTGCAAAATCAGCTTGACCTCTGGCTCAACCTCTGATGAAGTTGCAGACCTCAGCATGCATGACATGAACTACAGCCACTCCTCGACCTACGACATGCTCGACCTATGACTGCCCCAGTCGTACAAAAAAATAAAATTACGTATTTTCGAGTCCCAACGTTATTGATCGCGCTGTGTACTGACAAAATTTTTGTTAGTAATTCCATTTAAAATGGCTGGCAAGAATAAAAGTGAGAGTTCTCGTGGTGCTGAGAAGAAAAAGAAACACCCAGAAATTTATGTAAATCTACCCAAAGATACAGTTGAAATTTTTTTACATTATTAAAATGTACTGTACTATATACAAAAATTTTTATCTTGTGCAAATATATGACACTTATATTCAAATTAATCACTATCTTATAAGAATTCCAGTAATGTAAATTATATTCTCCCCGGTCACATCTATGACATTTTATAAACAAAAACAAAAACTCAATCTAAAGGACATAAATAAACAAATAAATACTTCACTAGACCTTCGGCCCCAACTGTCAAACATGTCACTGTCACCTCCCCTTCCTCCAGCCCTACCCCCCCCCTCCCTCCCTCCCTCCCTCCCTCCCTCCCAGCCAGAATTTGGTGGTTATACAGTAGGCTTTAAGTTTTTATCTTATATAACATCACAGACTAAAGTTTGGAGAATATAATTTGCATTGATGGACTCCTTGCAAGACAGTGAATAATTTGAATATAAACATCATAAATTTTGCACAAGAGATAAAAGTTTTAGTACATTAGTTTAGTACAATTTAATAATGTAAAAATTTTTCAACTATTTTTTGAGTAGATTTACATAAACTTCTTCATTTAATTTTATTAATTTTCAGCTCCTCCTCGACTTACGATGTGATTAGGGATCCAAATTCAGGTCGTAAGTTGAAATGGTCGGATGTCAAAAATGCTTAAATAATACCTAGAAAATCTGAAATGGGTGTCTCTTTTCCTTCTCAGCACCACAAAACTCTCACTTTTAAGCTTGCCAGCCATTTTAAAGTGAATTACAAACGAAAATTTTCTTTGTGTACTGACATTGGGACTCGAAAATACGTAATTTGACAAAATTTTGGTATGACTGAGGCAGGTCGTAAGTGGGGTGGTCGTAAGTCGAGCAGGTAGTAAGGCGAGGAGGAGCTGTACATGCACACATCATACTAAAAGAAATAAATGACCTAAGTGCAAACCTGTCCCGTACATGGACTAAATGATTAGGATGCTAAAATTTTTGTCCAGTGCAAATTATAGCTTGTTTATATTCAAATTAATCGCTATCTTACAAGAATTCCAGCAATGTAAAATATATTTTCCCCAGTCGTTTCGGTGGCAAATTATAAGAGAAAAGCTTAGTTAATCTTAAGGACTAATAAATAAACACACAGACTTCGGCGCCAAATATCAAACATATCACCTCACCTCCCGCTCCCCCCCCACAAGCACCCTCCCTCCTTCTATCCGTCTCCCCCATCTGCCCAGCCAGGGTTTTAGGCTTACAGTTTTTATCTTATATAATATCTCAGACTAAAGTTAGGAGAATGTAGTGGACGTCTCCCCTACAACTGCGTAGCTGCTGGCAACCAAACTAGCGGCCCAGTCAAAAGACCGGCTACTTCCTGGGTTTTCCCTACATGACTCACGGCTGCTGTGTATATAAGCTCTGTCTCTCCATTGAGATTCATTCTAGCCTCTCTACCTGAACACGCAACACCTCCTCCTCCGCCGCTGCCTGGCGGCCCTCGCTTCTCCTCCGCCTGCCTGGCGGTCCTCGCTCCCGCCAGCGAGCATGGCGACCCACCAGCTGTCCTTCTCTGAGCTTCCTCACCAACCAGCTCTTATTCTGCTCTCGGTTCCTGAACACGCAACACCTCCTCCAGCAAGCTCCTCGCTGTCCAGTTCTCATTCAACCTGGAGGCCAGCAACAGGCAACATCTTCTCTAACGAAGCTCCTGCACATCTACCTCCTTCAACACGCTACTCACCGAACGTGTCTACTGAGCAGCTCTTCACCACACGGCACCTCCAGCACCAGACTGTCTACCATATAACTTATATTATATAAGAAAACCACCTTAGAGTTTCCATCCATCCTGAGTGCTAGACAACATTATACCACGAAACCCTACAAGAATATAATTTGCATTACTGGAATCCTTGCCAGACAGCGAATAATTTGAATACAAACGTCATATATTTTGCACAAGAGATAAAAATTAATCACCTGTATCACATTACAGTAGAGATTTAGGAGTTCAAGTGTATATGTATGTACGACCTGTGCCCGGGTGGGCCAATCCCCGTAAAAAAAAAGTGTGTGTCATATCCCTGCTATGGGAGTTGCCTGCTTTGTTCTTGCTATATATATATATATATATATATATATATATATATATATATATATATATATATATATATATATATATATATATATATATATATATATATATATAATTTTTTTTTGTTCAACAGGGTAAAATAGAGGAGAACTTGCGACCATACAAGAAGGGAAGTGTCACCAGGAAAAAACTTAAAATTAATGAAGGTAAATATAGAATCTAGCCTCATTTACCCTCCTGAGATAACCTAACACTAACATAACACTCACTAACACTGACATAACTCACCTTAACACTGACATAACTCACCCTAACACTAACATAACACTCACTAACTCTGACATAACTCACACTAACACTGACATAACTCACCCTAACACTAACATAACACTCACTAACTCTGACATAACTCACACTAACACTGACATAACACTCACTAACACTGACATAACTCACCCTAACACTAACATAACTCACCCTAACACTGACATAGCTCACCCTAACACTAACATAACACTCACTAACACTGACATATCTCACCCTAACACTGACATAACACTCACTAACACTGACATAACTCACCCTAACACTAACATAACTCACCCTAACACTGACATAACTCACCCTAACACTAACATAACTCACCCTAACACTGACATAGCTCACCCTAACACTAACATAACACTCACTAACACTGACATAACTCACCCACTGACATAACACTCACTATAACTCACACCACTGACACTCACCCTAACACTAACATAACACTCACTAACACTGACATAATTCACCCTAACACTGACATAACTCACCCTAACACTGACATAACTCACCCTAACACTAACATAACACTCACTAACACTGACATAACTCACCCTAACACTGACATAACTCACCCTAACACTAACATAACACTCACTAACACTGACATAATTCACCCTAACACTGACATAACTCCCCCTGACACTAACATAACACTCACTAACACTGACATAACTCACCCTAACACTGACATAACTCACCCTAACACTGACATAACTCACCCTAACACTGACATAACTCACCCTAACACTGACATAACTCACCCTATTACTGACATAACTCCCCCTAACACTGACATAACTCACCCTAACACTGACATAACACTCACTAACACTGACATAACTCACCCTAACACTGACACAACACACCCTAACATAACACACACTAACACTAACATAACTCACCCTAACACTGACATAACACACCCTAACACTAACATAACACACCCTAACATAACACACACTAACACTAACATAACTCACCCTAACACTCACATAACACACCCGAACACTGACGTAACACACCCTAACACTGACATAACACACCATAACACTAACATAACACACCCTAACACTGACATAACTCACCCTAACACTAACATAACACACACTAACACTAACATAACACACCCTAACACTAACATAACTCACCCTAACACTAACACTACCACTAACATAACTCACTCTAACACTGACATAACTCACCCTAAGACTGACATAACTCACCCTAACACTGACATAACTGACTCTAACACTAACACAACACACTCTAACACTAACATAACACACTCTAACACTGACATAACTCACCCAAACATAACACACCCCAACACTGACATAACTGACTCTAACACTAACACAACACACTCTAACACTATCATAACACACTCTAACACTGACATAACTCACCCAAACATAACACACCCCAACACTGACATAACTCACCCTAACACTGACATAACTCACCCAAACACTAACATAACACACACTAACACTGACATAACTCACACTAACATAACACATTCTAACTCTAACATAACACACCCTAATGCTAACATAACACACTCTAACACTGACATAACACACTCTAACACTGACAAAACTCACACTAACATAACACACTCTAATGCTAACATAACTCACCCTAACACTAACATAACTCACCCTAACACTAACATAACTCACCATAACACTAACATATCACACTTTAACACTGACATAACTCACCCTAACACTAACATAACACGCCCTAACACTGACATAACACACCCTAACACTGACATAACTCACCCTAACACTAACATAACACACACTAACACTGACATAACACACTAACACTGACATAACTCACACTAACATAACACACACTAACACTGACATAACACATCCTAACACTAACATAACACATCCTAACATAACATACACTAACACTAACATAACACACCCTAACACTAACATAACACTAACATAACACTAACATAACACACCCTAACATAACATACACTAACACTAACATAACTCACCCTAACAGTCACATAACACACCCTAACACTGACATAACACACCCTACCACTCACATAACACACCCTAACACTAACATAACACACCCTAACACTCACATAACACACCCTAACACTCACATAACACCCTAACACTAACATAACACACCCTAACACTGACGTAACACACCCTAACACTGACGTAACTGACCCTAACACTGACATAACTGACGCTAACACTAACACAACACACCCTAACACTGACATAACTGACCCTAACACTGACATAACTGACCCTAACACTAACACAACACACCGTAACACCAATATACACCCTAACACTGACATAACACACCATAACACTGACATAATTGACCCTAACACTGATATAACTGACCCTAACACTAACACAACACACCCTAACACTGACATAACACACCCTAACACTGACATAACACACCCTAACACTGACATAACTGACCCTAACACAACACACCCTAACACTAACACACACTAACACTGAACATAACTCACCCTAACACTGACATAACACACCCCTAACACTACACACCTAACATAACACACCCTAACACTAACATAACTCACCCTAACACTGACATAACTCACCCTAACACCGACATAACCTCACCCTAACACCAACATAACCTGCCCCTAACACTAACATAACCTCAACTCTAACACTGACATAACTCACCCCAACACTGACATAACTCACCCAAACACTAACATAACTCACCCTAACACTGACATAACCTCCACAATAACACTAACATAACACACCCTAACACTGACATAACTCACCCTAACACTCGACACATAACACACCCCAACACTAACATAACTCACCCTAACACTAACATAACTCACCTCTAACACCGACATAACACACCCAACACTGACATAAACCAACTTTAACCTTATAAAACACCATCCCAAACCATTGTAAATATTATCATCAACTTGAATAAACCAGCTATTCACCCCAGTAAATACTACTTCTGCCTTCACTATACACATTTGACCCACTAATAATATCTATTTACTAACATATAATCAAACCATCCCCAATATGACTATATTTCACCTCTCTGCCACTCAATAAACCAATAATTACAACTCACCCTAACGCTAACATAACACACACTAACATAACACACCCTAACACTGACATTACTCACCCTAACACTGACATTACTCACCCTAACACTGACATAACCCACCCTAACATAATACACCCTAACACTTACATAACACACCCTAACACTAACATAAATCACCCTAACACTAACATAAATCACCCTAACACTAACATAACTCACCCTAACACAACACACACTAACACTAACATAACACACCCTAACACTGACATTACTCACCCTAACACTGACATAACCCACCCTAACATAATACACCCTAACACTTACATAACACACCCTAACACTAACATAACTCACCCTAACACTAACATAAATCACCCTAACACTAACACAACTCACCCTAACACTGACATAACTCACCATTAACACTAACATAACTCACCCTAACACTGACATAACTCACCCTAACACTGACATAACACACCCTAACACTAACATAATTCCACCCTAACCCCTGACCATAACCTCACCCTAACACTGACATAACACACCCTAACACTAGCATATCTCACCCTAACACCGACATAACTCACCCTAACACTGACATATAACACAATTCTAACACTCAACATAACTCACCCTAACACTGATACAACACACCTTTAACACTAACATAACTCACTCTAACACAAAAATAACTCACACTAACAAATAATACCAATACTAACCCTGACATAACACACTTAAAACTAACATAACTCACCCTAACACTGACATAACTCACCCTAACACTGACATAACACAACTCTAACACTAACATAACTCACCCTAACACTGACATAACACACCTTAACACTAACATAACTCACCCTAACACTAACATATCACACCTAGTACACTGACATATTACACCCTAACACTGACATAACACACCCTAACACTAACATAACTCACCCTAACACTGACATAACTCACCCTAATACTGACATAACACACCCGAACACTGATATAACACACCCTAACACTAACAAAACTTACCCTAACACTAACATAACACACCCTAACACTGACATAACTCACCCTAACACTGACATAACTCATCCTAACACTAACATAACACACCCTAACACTAACATAACTTACCCTAACACTGACATAACACACCCTAACACTGACATAACTCACCCTAACACTGACATAACACACCCTAACACTGACATAGCTCACCCTAACACTGGCATAACTCATCCTAACACTAACATAACACACCCTAACACTGACAACTCACCCTAACACTAACATAACTCACCCTAACACTGACACAGCTCACCCTACCACTAACATAACACACCCAAACACTAACATAACTCACCCTAACACTAACATAACTCCCCCTAACACTGACATAACACACCCTAACACTGACATAACACACCCAAACACTGACATAACTCACCCTATCACTAATATAACACACACTAACACTAACATAACACAACACACGCTAACACTGACATAACTCACCCTAACACTAACATAACACACCCTAACACTGACATAATACATCCTAACACTGACATAACACACCCTAACACTAACATAACTCACCCAAGCACTAACATAACTTACCCTAACCCTGACATAACACAGCCTAACACTGACATAACTCACCCTAACACTAACATAATACATCCTAACACTGACATAACACACCCTAACACTAACATAACTCACCCAAGCA